CCGCTACATACGTACGGCTCGCCCGCCGCGTGATAGCGATGAAACCTCGTGGAATCGTCTATTTCTGCATATTGGAACTCGTCGCGCGCGATTATAATTTAAATTTTAAACACTAACATGGTTGGCGAGACGCGGTTTCGAGCGCACAATAAAGTGGCAAGTTTTCCTCGCAGCGATAAAGGATGACGCAAAATGATTATTCTCAGCGTTGCTATGAGTGTCCGCTGAGTCAATGCGCTGCGTTCGCTGGCAAGCTGATCGCAGCGCTGTCTCAGCATGCCGCGACTCGGCCGACTTGCAACTGCTTCCAGTTCATTTCTTATTGCGCTACTCGCGTTTCAATTCATGCAATGCCTTGAAATCACTTTTGCGCTCGTTGTGTCATTATAAATTATAATAAGCGCAGATCATTAACTCACATAACAGATAATAACAAGAGCAAATGTCCAAGTTCAATATACGTTTATAAATAAATAATAAGATCTCGTTAGGTTGTTAAATTATAAAGTTTGGTATAGAATATTCGTATAGGAGAGGCTAAAGTTCTGTGGAGACGCGTGTCCCGCCTAATTGTCGGGGCAGGTGCAGAGGCATCTGCCGTCGTATGGGCTCTGCATGCCATTTTTTACTTTACTAGCGACATCAAAATGATACACGTTACATGTTGCCAGAACGGGTTAGAAAATAACCCTGCTGCGATGAACTATAAACTAGGTGTATAGCTGAAGGTCTAAGCACACGGACGTCAGAGTCAGCGGGCATTCCTGTACTACGAGGCACGTCCGTCATTTCATTAGTGTGGTGTGGCTAAGACGCAGCTGTTTACTACTATAGTCTGCACCTTTTTCGTTTCTGGAAGAAATATATTTATATAATACGTAAATCGTTGGGCAAAAAAGTTTGTAAAACAATCATCAGAACAACTTTCTTGTTGATAAATACGCGTGTAATTTAATAATACATTTCTTTCCGACGCATATCATTATTTGCATCAGAGTAATAGTGCTGCATAATGCGGCTGGCGTAATATCCATTATGTATCGGAATGCGGTGTGTCGTACCAAGTTCAACTCTTACAAAATGTTATAAATATTTTTTGTAATACTGATATTATAGATAAACTAGCTCGTTGACAAAGAACATTTAAACACAGATCGCTCTTCCAATAAAATTTCCTACTTGAGGATTTAAGTTTTTTTTATAATTAAAGTTAAAGCCTAATCCATTCGAAAATAACTATTTTCATTATGGGTCTTTTAAAAAACGTTTAATATCAACGCATCCAACACACAGTAGTAGAACTAAATACTGTCGACTCAATTACAAAGAGGTTTTACATTCGTTAACAATCAATCCCATGTGTCACCTACTCGACTTATTTTGACAGGTTAATAAAATTTGTCAATATAATAGCACTACTTTTAAGTGGCTACACCGCACCGCTGTGTTTTGTTTTAAAAATTGTAGAGGTCGCAAGCGTGAAAAAAAATTGATCCTAACACACAGGTAAATATAACTTTACGTGGATTTTTCGTAGTTGTATTATCATCGGGGACTCTGTCTCCCGTACCCACGTAAAGATCCAAAAGACCATCGGTCTTTTGTGTCATAAATATATTTCGGGTGAAGAATGCTTTACCGTCGTATGGGTCGGCAAATCCCACAGTCGCATTGCGGAGCACGGAGCCCTTACCTACCTGGACGGACCCCTATAGGGGTTGCTCTACGGGAACATATTGTTACCAAAAAAAGCGGGAAGGGACGCTGACAAAAGACTCCGAATAGGGTTCAGGTATCTACTAGTTACAGTCCCATAAATTCAAACTAGAGTTTCAACTAATTTCTTAGTCACTGTGAATAAAGCGTTTAACATAAGCGATAAATAAAAAGTATCTTATTGGGACAATTAAAGTTTTGTTTGAAAAATATAGCGATTATATTAAGCCTATTTTTTTAAATACTCATGTTTTAAACAATTTAGTCTCAGTTCGATTGATAAATTTGGAACTGATAAAATTTATTTTCTCGCGTCTTCCTCGATGAGAGACATTATAATTTTTCGAAAATTTAAACTATATTGAAAGAATTATTTTAGAAAACTTAGTTTAGATTTTTAAATTTCTTATTAAGGCATGAGATATAGGTATGTACCAGGAATGCATAAATCGAGTAACTACAATACTCGGTTAGGGACCGGGCGCACGTGTAGTGTATGGACCTTACGGTACTCGCATGGCTGCCGCGTGCGCACGCCGCCCGTTCTAAACCTTTACATTGCTCCATGTTTCTTCATCCTCACCTGTTTGTTAAGTTTCTATTATAGTAGGCTTCTTGCAATACTATGTGATGCTAAAAGTTATAAGGCTAAAAATATTTTCTTCACCATACTCTTGATAAAATTCGATTAAACCATTTTGCTGCTAAAAAAAATGTAATAAACAGTTTACTAGATTTCGAAAAAACGTTTGGCTTTTGATTGAAATTGATATTCTACCGAAAAAGATGTCAGACTGTTTCTAAAATTGTTGTATAACATTACTCATTTAACGCAAACAACTCCTGCCATCTAGCGTCGCTTGCCTACATTTGTGTTCTAACATGTACGGTGTGTTGGTTGCAGGGCTCTGGCGGGGGGTGCGGCGCCAAGCGGCGCGCCGGGTCCCCGTGCGAGGGCGGCATCGGCGGCAAGGCCGCACGCTGGGAGGATTCGATTGCGCGGCTGGAGGCGGTGGCCGCCGGTGCCGGCGGCGCCGACTGCTGGCGCGAGGAGGACGAGAGGCGCGCGTGCCGCCGGCGCTGGTGCGGTGGCTGGTGCGGCGCGCACGACACCATCCGCGCCGAGAACGGCAAGTCGTACCTGGAGTTGGGCGGCGCCGCGGCACGCGCCTGCTGCGACGGCCGCGCCGCCGGACGCTGTGCCTCGCGCCGCTGCTACCGAGAGCGGCGGCTCAAGATGATGAACCTGTGTGCGCTCAAGTTGGCGAGGTTCCGGCAGACGGCCGATCCCTCGTTGCGACGCTCCGTGCTTGTGTGCAACACGCTGCGCGGCATCGAGCGCGAGATGGAGCGCGAGAGCGCGGAAGAGGCGCCCGCGGAGTGCTCAGGCAGCGCGCGATGCGAGCTGCTGGGTGCGCGCGACCCCGCCGCCGGCCGTGCCACACCCTTCCCCGCGCCCCCCGTGCCCGACCGCGACTCGGGCTACGGCGACGAGGAGCGCGCCATCGACTGGGGCTCCGTGCTGAGCTTGTCGTCGCGCTCGGCACTCGACCCGCCCGAAGACGCGTGGCCCGACGACTGGGGCTGGTCAGCCGGCGAGGACAGCTTCGTGCGGCTGCTGGTGCCCACGAGTTAGTGCACGGCGCGCGGGCACGCGCCCGCGCCCCCGCCACACTGAGCGCCTGTGATACGCCGCCGGCCCGCGGCGCCAGCTGACGCGGCATCTAGTCGGAGCGGCCACGAGCCACTTAGTATTACGTTAATCAGGGAAGGTGCTAGCTTCGGACGTGACGCAGGACCTATACGCGAGCCGAGTTATTTTTGATAGTTTTATTTCCTTTAAGTGAACTCTAAACCGAGACTAAGTGATGTGCGGACTTTATCGAGCCGAGAAAGCTCGGGTGTTTGACGAGTTTTTTTGTTAAAATTATTGTGTAATTAATTAGATGAAATGCTATATTTATTATGTTGAGAGGGAAAAAGTGATAATTTGAAATTATTTCTGTCTTGATATTTTCTATGGTACGCTGTCGAGCAAGAGTATGTTTTCTGGTTATGTTAAAAGTTTACCTACGCGTGGAGGTGTGACCTTTTGCTATCGATATCGACATACCTCTGAGATTTATATTTACTGTCCGCTCGAAGTCATTCGCCTTAATTACTTTCTGTTATACACCGAAAAAGGTCTCACCTCTCACGATACAGATCTACGTCATATTTATATTTGTGTGGACATGTGCCGATGTATTTGTACAGCGCGCGACCACTGGGCCGGGCTCCGTGCGGCTGCTCGGTGGCGGCGCCCGCGCCCTGTGGTCGCGCTGGGACAGGAAGCTTAATAATTGTTATTAATAGATCTATAACAAGTATGTACTTAAATTTACATCAATTACTTCTGCATCCAACACTGGTCATATCGTAATTGGATGTTAATTATGTCGCCTTGTCGGATGTCGTCGGATGTCGTCGGATGACTGCACTGCATTACGATTTGTACATCACCATTGACCGTTGTTGTGGTTTACTTCAATACGCCCTAAATCGGAATTGTATAACTTTAAGGCCCCGTTTGCCCGCTGACGATAATTTTGACGCAAGTAAAAGTTGATTACACGAGGTTGGCTTTTATTGATTTAGACATAACTCTACCACAAAGTTGGCAGTTCCTATCACTTATAATACTAGTTAAATGTTCGTTTTATTTTTAAAATTTGTCAGTGGGCAAACGGACCGACAATTTGCCGCAGACCGAAAATAGTCTCAAATGCAATGTGATTTGAAAATAAATAATATTACAATGGCAAACACAATCCATAGTTTCTCAATGATGACCTATCAGCTGTCATTTTGTCATAAATAGCTCAAATAATTTATAAAGCGGCTGTTACGTCCTCATTAAGACTGGGTTGTGGCCAGCCCTGTGTAATGGGATGCTACGAATCGACATCGGGTTTTGTGGTCGGTGTTAAATGGTGCGAAGTCGTTATTTAATTAGCACACATTATATTTTATTTGAGAAGCGGTCGATTGTTTTCGCTCGCCCGGCTGCTCGGACCGCACAGACCGCACCGTCGACGTTGTCCCCATGGGCCGACGACTGCATGGACCAAACATTCCTACATAGCACAACTCGACAAAGCAAAGTACAAATTTCAAAGTAATATGCATTAGTGCTTCGGCGCATGTTTGTCCACCGTTGTCAATTACTCAAATATTTGAATTGTGATTCGGTAGCTAATGAGAGAAAACTCTATGTTCTTAAATTTAGTGTACATATTATATACGGAGTTGGGCATTATGGCGCGGTGATCGCAGCCGTTGTAAATAAATTATGTAAAGTATTAATTTTATTAGTATCGATATCGACGAGCCGAGTGGCACCTCACTCGGCGACTGGGGACTGGGTAGGGGGGAGCCGCGTTTGTCAAACTGTGTTGTTACGATGCAACCTTTATTCTGTCCAGTACGCTCGAAACAAGTACAGATATACAAGTTACATATTATAAATGCATTTTATGATAAGTCACAAGAAATTCTCGCCGCTACTGTTGAAGATCGGATAATTTTAATTCTTGAGTTTTGAACTCGTGCCCACGTATTATAAATAGTTACTTGTTTCGGTTCTAAGATTAATTTCGCATACGTACCTACCTTAATGATTTTTTGTTAAACTTGTCCGTATGGTTGGTTGTGATGGTTTACTTAAGTAAGTTAGTGAATTATGAATAAAGTGGTCTGTCTACTTTAAATATTACCTATAATGTCTCGCACATTTGTACCGACACCTCTAAACACTGTCATATATCTGTCGCATTCGTTCGCATGACTTTATAATGTACTTAAGATAATCAGATGTAAGTATTTTTATCATTCTCAAATTTCTAAATTTCCTCACCGCTGCGACTCGAATGCGACAAATATGTCTTCCGGATGCTTGCAATCGTGTACAAATTAAAAAGAGAATACCTTAGTGGGACTCGTTTTGGCCTTTCGTCCTGTCATTTTCACAAAACGGGCCAAATTGTACAAAGTAAAGTTTTTGAACAAAAATATTGTGCTCACTGAATAAGTCTCAATTTTGTTGTGTGAACTGTGAGTGTGTGAGAGGGGAGTGATCGGGTTCTATTTTTGGGTGGTTTGGAACTGTATTCTCTTCTGTTCTTTGTGTTACCTATTGCCATAACGGGCTGGCGCGGGGGCGCCCCGCTCCGCACCGCGGCTCGCCGCGTAGTGTTGTGACGCAGCAATAATTATCGATAGAACCCTCGTCGCATCCGTCTAATTCTACGCGCGACGTTTCAAAGAAACGTTCGCGACGGCACCATACGTAACTTAAATCTAATTGTAATTAATTCATTTAGTGTTTTTTCATTGTCATCGGTTACCAAAAGTGACAGGATTTTATTAAAACATTCTTGTATATTCTAGGAAGAAATACTCCCATTAGAAAATGGTGAAATCAATTTTGAATAAACTTTATAATGTTTGCACATCGAATTGTTACAACGTTCCTCAAGTTACAATTTTATTCAAAATTGTTTTTCTCCGTCTAATGCAAGATTATATTGTAATATATTATTGTTTAAGATGTTGTGTCGAAAATAACAAGAACAGGAATAATTTTGTGAAACAATGGCACAAAGAATGAACATAAATATTATATATATTATATAAACAGAAATGTGGCTATAAGAGCAATTTTTATAATAAATATTTACTGTTGAAGAATCTATGATTTTTATTCTATCATTCCTACCTACCTTCAAAACTACGTTCCGATACTTGAGTAAGAAAGACCTATCTTACTAGCTATGAGTAGAGGCATTCATGATTGCTTACATCAAAAATATGCAGACTTCTGCAGCGCCACGCTGGTTATATTGTACCAAGGAAGGATTTGGCAGTAAAAAATTAAATCGCTAAACTTAGCAAGCGGCTATATTCAGTCTTTAATTATGGCAGCGTTCCCTCTTTGAGAACCATATTGCTTAGTGTCACAGAGCGGTAGTTGAGGGCAGTCCGTGGAGAGTTCTCTTGTGCTTCCACATATCGCCAGATCTCCTGTTAAGATAATATTCAAAATTACACGAGATTAATATAATAAATGTAGGCTTCTTTCTAGACTCCAAACAAGTCAGGAATAAAGCTTTTTAGGCGTCATTTCCAACAAGTGACCAGCTATTTCCTTGGGCACTCTACTCGCTAAGTTCGACAGTTGCCGCACTGTTCGCTTAGTGGAAACTGTATGTAAGTATTCTTGCCTGAAGGCCGTTCCACAGACGTCGCATTTGTGCGGCTTCTCCCCGCTGTGTATGAGGGTATGTACCGTGCGGGCGTACGGCCGCCGGAACGCCGCGCCGCAGATATCGCACCTGTACGGCCTGCGAACAACAAAACTAGTAACACTGTTGATACTTATAGAAAAACGTGACATTCCTGGTGACAACAAAAAACAGAGACAACAGATAACATTGCAGAGATGACGTTAACATAATGCTGTAATCGACATCAAATAGGAAAATTAATTTACTAACTAAATCTACTGAAAAAATCTGAAGAGCTGAGAGTAAGAAATCGACGTGCTAAATTGCTAGATTCATATCCACTTCTATATATTCTGTTTTCATCAATTCTCAGCATTCCTTATTCAATTATAACCCATTTTATTATAAAAGAATCGTTAAACAGATCTTAACTCCATATTAATAAAGAAAATTCTTCACTGGCATATTTTATTCTCTAAAATCAAACATAGATTCATTAAATGACATAACATGACTTTAATCAGGCGCTGAATTGACAATAGTCATTGTTTAAACCAGCCGACAACTGTTAGATATACATATCTCGAAGAACGAGAAAGAACGCAAAAATTGAACATAACGGCAAAAAGAACATTTACTACTAGCCCCTCGTTGGTCATCAGCTTCCCGCATCATCACTTGTTCGAAAAGTTTCATAAACAAAAGCTGCAAATATACTTTGAAGGTTTTATATGTTCTAACAGACAATAATGAATACCACAATCGTAGCGTTAGTAAAATATCCGCCATAAAACAGCAACGGTACAAAATCTAATGATTCCTAAGTCGTTCGCGAGCGCCTAGTCAAATCAAAACCGTTACCCTGTAAAATATCAACTGAATAACCACGAACAGACCAATATAAACCTTTACCTACAGATAGAGGGAAGTTACTAAATCTGTATAATTCAACCTTTACTTACACTGTTAAAATATTTTGTACCTCATATTTTTCAAGGACAAATGTAGGGTTATGTTGTTTAGTTGAAACTAAATACATGGACATACATGGACATGGATAGGGCCTTTTTTATATAGGCAACTCATATTAAAGGAGGATTAACCACCACAAACCTGATCATGGGTGGGCTAGGTCTAGGGGAACGGCTTCCATTAATATGGCCTTATTCTGAGCAATTTTTCAACGTTTTATATTTTTCGAGATCGAAATGTCGAGAAACCCTCTCCTGTCAAGTCCTATAATAAAAGCAACTGGAAAGATTTAAGGTTCCACGTATTTGTATATAATTTTAGCTTAAAGTTTTAGCGAAGTTTAGGTCACACTGGCTTTAGAAGTAATGGGTTATGAAAGTAGTGTTAGTATTATAACGCACAATTTTCGGAGTTAAATTTAAAGTGTTTCGATAGTTGGTCGTAGGTCGTTTCATAACGCATCCACGGCCGCGCCGCACCGCCTCGTAAACAGTTGGAACCGGTCAGCGGACAGAAGAGAGCGGCGAACGGCGAGCGAGCTGGACACGTAAGAATTCCGCAACCGAACCGACTTATATTCTACCAGTTGCGACTCTTACATTGTAACAAATTTATATACAAATAAGTACAATGTTAAATAAAAAACCCAACAGAAGAAGCAATGGAAAATGTGAAAGAGTATATTAAAAAGAAGTTCAGTTAGACGGCTGATGTATTTATGGAAAGAAGTGGGCAGAAAGTTGATGAAAACCTTGATCGGCCTCGATATTGGCTCAGAGGAAAAATTCACATCAAAAAATACATAAATAACCATACAAATTTAGGTTTATCTATTTATTTAGGCTAGCAAATATTACAATAGTGAAATTAAAGAACGTTGAAGTGATAAATACTGTAAAAATTGCAATTAAATCCTTTGACCATAGTTTTTCAGAATTACAGAATACCGCCATACTCAGTAGACTTCATTTTTAGTAAAAAGATCTTATGTGACCTAGTAGGGAATTTTTATTGTCACAATTTTTAATTTTTAAAGACCTCTAATAGACCTCGATGTCATAGCGCATGGTGTATTTCAAAAGAACAAACTTTTAGATAGAAATTTTAAAACACAGAAAACCTTTTCTCGTTTCTAAAAATCTTTTAGTGTTTTTTGTTTATAGTTTTAATTAAAAATGTCCATTTTTTATAAGTTCGTACCCGAATGTTACTTTTTATGCCTGCGATTTCACCAAACAGTCCAGTCCAGTCCAGAACAACTTATACGAGTAGAATTAAATTGTTCTTAAATTTAACATTTAAGTTAAGTTTTATTAATTCAGCATATTTTGGTTAATAATTCTCTCACTCACGTAAATAATTTATTTTCAACATAGATTTACGCACGCACTGGCAACTCAAAACTTTTTCTACTGAATTAAATATAAACGTAAATATCCTTCGTAGCTTTGAGAGCCCAATAATTGTGATAGTTACACTATAGTTTGAAAACAAACCGAGGGACTCGATGACGTCACGCAAGCGGGTCGTCCGCGGGAACTCGCCGCTCAAAGTGGAACAGTTTGGAAAAACCGGGACCAATCGCTCGACCCTAATTAAACGCTGGAGTAAGCATTAAAAAGCGACTAAAGATTTAACAATTACAAACGTTAATATAGTTTCCTTCAGTTTATATTGAAAATGTATACTACGGATACAGTGATTTACAAAAAATAAAATTAAGACTAACATTTGCTTTTACGCATAAATTTAGATGCAAAAGAAATTCTGGGTCATAGATGCATAATATTTTTTTACATTATCTAATAAAAAACCAAGTATATACTGAAACAAAACGATAACTAACCCGATGCGAAGAATTTGAACAATTAATTAAAAAAATAAGACAGCGATTCCAAGCACAGGTGTCGTTTATGTCTTATACGGTAACGAAGAAAAAATCATATCTATAAATAGAAACTGTTGAAAGGTTCCCGCTACGGCGCTTTGTGCAACCAGTTTCAATATTACCAATGCTAGCGCCATCTATGGACGAACACTAGACTTTCTGTGATTCAAAGTTTTGTGTTGTTTTAAATCTATACCTATAGCAATTTCTAAATATTCCTGTTACATACCAACGGAATAAGTACCTAAATATAATATTGAAAGCAAAATTTAGTCTAGAATATTAAACAACAAAAATTAAGAAAACAGTTTAGTTGAGTTTTAAAAAGTCCATACCTATAATTCGCACATACATTTATATTAGACGGACGTTAAAAAATATTTAAAAAAGTATATTTAGGTTATGTGTCACAAATAAACGGCTTTAGCTGTTCTGTATCTGTTATTTTTTAATTTTAGTTTACTTCAAAACAAATAAGATGACTTATTTAGAAAGACATTACGCAGATTATTATTAGACAGGCATGAATACTGACGTCTATTGAGCATTCGAGATTGCATAATGCAAAACGTAAACAAACAGGTGCCCCGTAACATCCCTTACCGGTAGATAATACACTTGATAACAATAGGATAGGATAATTATTAAATACGTCATCTAAAGGCCAAGGATAAACCACTTAAGATATCTAAATTTCATATGAATACGATAAACGTGTAAAGTTATATAATACTTTAGTATAAATGCGAAAGTTTAGATGGATGGATGGATGTTTTTACTATGTTTCAACCAGAAAGGTTGTTCAACCAGAAACTGATGTTTTTGAAATTTGGAATCGATGTAGAAAATATTCTGGAAGAACATATAGGCTACTCACCCACGTAGATTCAGTGGCGATTGCTAGTACCCATACTAAACCAACTATAATATTAGTCGACACTTAACAAGTCTGTATAATTATTGACGAGAACACAATCATAGGTCAAAGGAATCCAAGCATGAAGCGCGGCGCCCTAAGTCGAGAATGTTTTAAAAAACGTGCGAAGAAATTAATTTCTTAAAGGGCGTTACATCACTGAGAATAGTTTGCAAAAATTGCTATATAACTTTACAATATATGAAAACATTTAAAACATTATAGACTCTCCGTGATTTTTCACTATCGAAACAGTTTTTAAAATCATATTTCCGTCTAATAATCTTAAAAGAGAATAGAGATTTGTTTCTATACAGATGTTCTATGAAATTTGAAGTCTCTGTTCACAAAGGTTCACTAGAATATTTAATTTATTAAATTATGAGATACTATAAAATAGCTACTTCTATACCTACAGTCAGTGTTAGGCGTGTAACCTTTGGTCTGTGTGTATGCGTGCGTGTTCGCGGAGGCGCGCGGCCGCGGTAAACGTCTTGGGGCAGCTCGTGCAGGCAAAGGGCCGCTCCCCGGTGTGCGTGCGCCGGTGGTCGTCGCGCTCCACCTGCCACATATCAACCTGCTACCTCAACATACTAAGTATTATTATATTCAAACTTTATAACTGCTCATTAGCTCCGCGCATGTCACATTGCAGGTGGACAAAACGCGCAATTATGTGCTCCCGTATTACGGTGCGTCGATAGAAGTGTGCAGCTTTTTGTGTGAAATGTAAGCTGCTATAAAGTTTGAATAGCATTATACTTCGGGTAGGGATACCACGTAACGGGAACGAAGATATTCGGTCTATAACATGTTAAAGCTGCTTTAAAGCAAAGTATCTATTTTTAGATATTAGTTTCTTCAATTTAATTCGAGGAAATTGGTCTATTTCTAAACAACAATAGGATCTACTAGAGAATAGCTGTATGTGGCGAAGCGGTTTTTTTCTCAGTAACACTATTTCATGCAACAAATGCTGACCGGGCGAGGTCGTATTAGCCTAGTGGTGGCGCCAATCACGCGCGCCGTCGCATCAGTGCCGGCTAAATAGAAAAATAGAACAAAAACCAGGCCGTATTTAACTTTCAGTACAACTGGCAACTCATTGTAAGCTTGCAAATAATAGAAAAAAAAAACGTTATTTTTTTAAGGTTACTATTATGTGGCCAGTTACAAATTGATTTCTGAAGTTAAAGTTTTTGTCTTTATTTCTGCCATGCACAGGTCACATATAAAGTTTTAGTGGATCACTTTTGTTGCAAAATTATTAATGTTGACACGGTCATATTTAAAAGCGTTCACTCAGTACCTTAACTTTAAACGCTTTAGTGCAGAGATCACAGGGATAAGGCCGCTCTCCAGTGTGCATCCTCATGTGTATGGCGAGGTGTCCCGACTGGTTGAAGCGACGTCCGCACACACGGCATGGGTAACCCTGGAACACGTAATCGCCGTGTGTAGTATACTGTAAGTCTTTGAGAGTTCCATCATTTTTTTGAGCTTTAAAGTCTTTTGACTCTACATGTCTATATTAAATACTGGAAATGTTTAAATTTAATATAGTACTATAAGCCTGAACTAGTCTATTGGAGATGTCATCTCCGAAGCCTTTCACAGTATACAGGCCTCCATGTTATTCATCTACTGTCTACCGTCGTCATAATGTCTCTGGTCTGAACAGTTCCTGTACATAATTTTTTAATGTTCCATTGTTTTATAAATATTTACTGGTTTGGTCACTCTGTGCATCTTCTTGTGGGTGTGCAGGGCGCACATGCTGCCGAGCACCTTGTCGCACTCCTCGCACACGTATGCGACCAGCGGCGCTCCCTCTGGGCGGTCCTCTCCTCGCTTGTGACGGTATAACTCCCTGCAAAATCAGTTAACTGAAGTTCAATTCAATTAGCCTGCGAAAATGGCCCGATTTGGGCTCGAAAGTGAAAAGTATAGATATGACCACTATTTGAATTCGTAGGTGTCATTTAGGGCGTTAATCAAATTTTACCTTGCAGTAGCAAACAGTTGATTACAAGAGCCACAGTTCCACATCTTATTGCTGCTGGAGTTAGAATACGGTCGCCGTGTCTGTCGCGTCTGTAATGGTCTATCGCATATGACAGTCTGCAGTTCTGTCTCTTCAGACGAAAGACTGGCAGGTGCGTTGTTATCACAAGAATCTAAGAGGTCTGAGATATCTGAAGATATATGTGTATTCAGCTGCAAAAAAAGATAACGGTCTATTTTCTATACTAATGTCAGTGGACAGTGTTAAGACGCCTTCAAGCGGCATAAAAGTGACAGCATTGTCACCGTTAAAAATGTTGTCGGAATCACGCCAACTGTTTGACTTGACTGCTCTTAGAATGTTTAAAGTCTACGTAGTTTCAGTTTTATTATTTCGAACAGTAAATGGTCAAAAAGCCATGTATACCATCGGGGAAATGGTATTGTCTGGTTCCTGCAAGCAGCACGTGAGCCGATGTCGGTCAAGGGCTTCTCCATCCGCGAACAAATAACTGCAGGAATCGCACACGTACATTGCGCCTAGTCTTCGGCGAGATATGCTCTGCCTTCCACTGTCATCGATGCAGCACAACTGTTCTGGTAAGTTTAAATTTCGATGTCAAAAAAAAAAACTAAAGAAAATTCTCAGTACAATGAGCTTTGGAGGAAAAATTAAAGCTTCTTCTAAAACATACATAAGGTACTTGATTTTCCTATTAACAGTTAGATTTTAAATTTATAACAACTTAAATCTGGCCAGTCATAAAAGACAAATCTTCCTAGGACAAAAAGCATCCAGGTCAACTTATTTACTAAAAATATTGTTAGAACCAATAGAGTGGAGAAACTACTGAAATATTTAAATCCTAAAAGCAAATGCAGAGTGTGTGCGGATTATTTTTAATTCTTTAACGTTGTACCAATATTTACAACTCAACAAATATGTTACTAAAAAAATGATTCAAAACTGAATAAAATCACTACCGCAAAAAAGATATGCTAGCCGTTAAATTAACAAACAATTTCATAAACCACGAGTAGATGTTACGTATGGCTTTATTAGATTTTTAATCAACTTTACAATCAAGGCAATAATAATCACAGTATCGTCAGACCGCGCAATTTGTATCAATTATTAGAAAGTCTTAGCAAATTATAAGTTTTGGTATGGTGGTTTAACTTATGATCCACTTTTGTTACTTTCTTTTTAGTGACCTAATGTTCGTCGCACCTCTACACTTCCGCTTTTTTATGACAGTTAATGTTGAATAAAATAGATTTTACAAGTTACGATTATGGAATACTCATGGATGAAAAAACTCCTTCTTTTGGAAGCCGGTTAAAAGGTTAAATACATATTTATTTCTTACCATTTGGTTCTGTTTCTACAACTGTAGATAATACTCTTTCACAGACACGACACACCAACCATTCGGCTTCATAACTTAGATCATCGTTGTTTGTTTCTAGAATGTAAAAAATTGATTAATATCAGGTCTTTCTATCAGCTTTTATACTAATTAAACCAAAGTCTAATAGGTTTAAATCTTACATACCAATAGGTTCCTTCACATTAGTAACTGCAGGAACATTTTGGCTTCTATCTACGTAATTAACTGAAGCGTGTAAAGATATAGTATGATCCAGAAGATCAGCTTCTGTTGTGAATATTTCATGACAAATAGCACACGAATGAAGAGCCAGTAAGTCGGGACCAATCTCAACATCCTGAAAGATAGAATAAAAACCGTATATATTTGTCAAACGTGGGTAGAATGAAATTAGATGCCAAACTTATCGAACCTTATTTTTTTCTGCAGCGGTTTGTAAAGGTAATAAAAATTGGTTAACAATGTTGTCATCTAGCAAAGTTGATTCAAAATTAAAGATATCTTGTTGAATAACACATAACTCAGTGTTCGTGGGTTCATTATTTACGGAGTCGCTTACAGGAGGCACATTTTCAATGTTAAAGTACCGTCCAGAATTATTAGAATGAAGCGATAATTGATTGTTTATATTTGTAACGTCAGTAATCACACTGTCGCCGAAGTTTGTTGTTGTATTATTTGGGATATCATTATTGAAAATATCGTCGGATTCGTAATTATCTCTCAATTCGGGAAGATCTCTATACGGAAAGTCGGGTGGGTCAAACATCATGTTAAATCTGAAACAAAAAATACTTTGGGCGTATAGATCATCGTATTATGTTTGCTTTAAAAAACTAAGTATTCTCATGATTTTTAAAAATACTGACAAGTGTTATTGGAGTTTGGTCATCGAATTATTAAATGTGGGAACCCTTACATTTTTTAATTAGGCAATTACTTAAAAATGCCAATGTGCGTTTGACATTGACATTTTGTAGTTTGTTGATTGTTTGTGGGATGTTTACCGATTGCTTTTTCAATTAAACAGAAAATTTTATATTATAGTAATCATGAAAGCCGACGCTGCAACTCCATCGGAGAAACCTAAAATTCCTTTACCAACAGTGTCACAAATAAATGCTGATAGAATAACACAGGTAGGAATAAAATTTAAGGTTAAGTTTATAATTGCTTAATGTTTGTTAATTTAGTAAGTAACCGTTTGATAGTAGCAATATTAAATTAACTACATGTAGACAATATCTACAAAACATAACTTCTTTTGCTTAAATGTTTCTAGTCCTCTATCCGTAAGTTGTTGATACAATACAGGTTCGGTATTTAAACGTTGTTGTAAGCCTAGTAGGGAATTTTAGACTTCAAATCTGTGTCCCCATAATATAACCTATGCCTGTGCCATAAATTGCAGTACAAAAGTATAACCTGAAAGGTTACAAAAGGGAGAGAGTCATCTAAAAAATAAAGTAGCCTGTGTTTTTCTAGACTTTGCTCTACATCTATGTCAAACATGGTCAACATCCATTCAGTCATTTAGGCGGTAAACTCTATCAAACATTCATCCTCTATCCTTCTAAACTTTAGCATTTATAATATTAGTAAGATTTTGAGGGGTCTATTCAACTATATATGTTCAGAAAATATAGCCATATTTTTTCAACCCATTCATGTGTTGGTATTGCCAGACCAAGTATATAGGTTTTGTTCTAACAATGAATGTGTTAATAAAATGGAGCTTTTATATACCTTCCGAGTAGCCAACTGGTTATATAAACATAGGGGCTCATAAAATCTAGGTAACATTGCTCATTGAATTGACTTGGAAATCAACATGGTTACATCATTATTCACAGCTTGCTCAGCAGTACTGGTCACCACAAACGAAGGACAACCACTTACCTTACGATGCAACAATTGTGGAAACAATCTACCAGACGGAGATACTTGGATCTTAGTAAGTTTTTTCTCACTTTAAAATTATATTATAAATAATGCACTCACTTTGAAATTCTTGGCCTAACTGATTTAAAACATTTGAATACCTTAAAGGGCGATGACCTTATAGAGTACGATGACCTCTATATTTTTTAAAATGTGACAGTTTTATAACTAAATTGTTTTCTAACAATTCAAAATTTAACTCCTGCTATTCTTTTGTTTCTGGAAAAGTTTATGATATCACAACATTGTTAATTTTTTTTTTAAAGTAAATGTTAATTATGTGTTTAAATCAGGAATTAATTTTAGTGACCCAAAAGTATTTGGAGAGTTTAGTAAAAAATCAAAATAATGGTTTGGTTTAGATTGTCTGTGGTATTTAATATTTTTTATTTATAGCCCTTTTTTGATATTGTGATATTTCTTTACAGCTTCTCCGTTCGTCGAATCATGATGTTGGAATTTTCTCAATACTTAGAGAACTATCTTTGGCCTCATTACAAGACAGGAGAAGCGAGCCATGCTCATATGATGTCTATTATTGTTATGACAAATGAGAAGTTTCGAGAAAGAGTGCAGGCATGGCAGGTCAGTATTCATTGCATATTTTTGTTAATGTAATTTTAATATTTATTAATAAAAGTAGCTTTCGCCAGCGACTCTCTCTGCGCGGAATTAAAAAAAAAATGCAAGTAGCCTGTGTTCTTCTAGACTATCCTTCCATCCACATCTATGTTGAATTTGATTGAAATCTATTCAACCATTTAGGCCACAAACTCTAAATAACATCTATTCTATAAACTTTTGCATTTATTTTTAATAGTCTAGAATTTTAAACTAGCGTAGGTTTTAGGTGTGTAATTTATTGCAAGCAAAACTCCATAAATAATGAGACATGGATCCCAATTATTCCTAGACTTAGTAATAATCTAATAGACCCTACTGAACTAGTTAACTAACATTTTTCTTGAATTATGTCTAAAGTTATAAATCTAATTTCCAGGCATTTTTGAAGAAACCCGAACATTTCCCTGGCTTCTTTGAGCAAGTTCTCCGTGCGAGTGTGGCAAATGACCTAAGCAGTCAGAATATGCGTGAACAGACAGCACTCCTAATGTTCCTCAACCACTGCTTCAGCAGTATGGAGGTGCAACTCTGTAGGGATCAGGTCAAGCGACTTGTGTCACTTAGTATGTGGATTAGTCTGCAAGAAGGTCAGTTAAGTTATTAATTTGTAATATGAAAATTTGTGATGTGTATTCTTATTGTCAAATATCTTGGCAGTTCAGAGTACCTTGAGCTCCTAACATATTTGAATAGATTTATTACCTAGCTGTTGCTCATGATTTCGTTCGTCTGATATTAAAAAAATAATAGAAAATATAGTCTATGTTACTTAATGATAATGTAGCTTTTTAATGGTGAAGGATTTTTAAATCGTCCTATTAGTTTTGTGCTGTTTAAATACATATGAAGTACAAATCTTTCCTCTTTTATTTTATTTAGAGATATTTTATTCTTACTAAAGCCATCTGATAGCGTTAATTACTGTACAAATATTTATTAAGGGTCTGTTAATGATCACTAAATAAACTTTAAGTAGTGTATACTGAGTATATAATGTATTTAATATAGATACGTATGTATTGTTGATAAATCTATTTTTTACTATGTACTATTTTAGGAAGGAGGAACCAAGAGTTCAAACTGGTACCCAAATGGAAGAAATACTGGAGAGCGATACAGAAGAAGGATAAACCGGAGATGCTGGAGAAGTTGAACTGGGAGCGGCATTACTTGCAGCGGCTGATGATCAAGTTCATGCAGATCTTGGAGACGGTTTCAGAGATTGAAGATGTTGATCCTAATGTTGTGAGGTAAGAACATAATGTGAGATCTTGAACATAGTGTATATTGCAATAAGCATAGCAATAAGGCCACCCTGCCGCAAATCTTGTAGTAGCTTAGTTTTAGTGTACTTTTTGTGCATTTATGTATTTTATTAAATGAGGTTGCTCAACTTAAAGAATGGCTTGAATGAAACTTTTTTCTTAACGCACATATTGTAATCGAAATAATGTACAGAAATGGTCGAAATCCCATTTATGATAGATACTTCATAAGAATAGTAAAAAATCTAGTAAAAGTACTAACATCAGGTATGGAGTGAAAAAAAATTAATTTATTTTGATATTTTTTTATTCTTATTCAGGTACTGCGAGCGTTTCTTAGAGCTGATGATAGATCTGGAAGCGTTGCTGCCTACCCGGCGCTTCTTCAACACCGTGATGGATGACTGCCATCTAGTAGTCAGATGTCAACTCTCCGCCCTCACGAGGCGACCTGAGGGTCAACTGTTTACACAGGTTAGTGAATGTTTTGTAACTTGGATTTTATTGAATTTTGTTGATAATATTAGGTAATCTTAAATAGTTAACATCAAATGATGTCTAGTTCTGATCACTAGATGGCGTTAAGAATTGCTAATAACGCCATCTATCGACATACGCTGACATTGCTATCAGACCAAATTCTCTTTACCACCAGAAGTGCTGTTAGGCAAACGGTACAATTTTAATTTAGGATTGAACCAATTGTAAGTGCCAATATTAAACAATACAATATCGAATATATTTTCGCGACATACTAAATCTTTATTCATGGAAAATAATATGAAGAATCTATTTGATGATCTCTAACAACACTTAATACTACGAGGACTTTACTTTTGCTTACTTTTTTTATTAAAAACATACAAGACTAAATAAAACACATGATACAGTTAATTAATTTTATTGCAGTAAAATAATACAAAATGCTATTCGATTCAGTTCACTTATACTACTATACAAAGAAATCATTAAAACTGTATAATATAAAAATAAATGGAAAATAGTAAAAAAATGTAAAATGTAAAAATTAAAATATTTGTTAGTGCCAGAGAGCAATCATATCATTTACAGTCAATGTTACCATCTCTTTCTTTCTTCTGAACAAGACAGAGATAGCGATAGTCTTTTTCAAGTGTCAACTCTAAGATTTTAAGGTTATGTTAGACCGTATATAGCTGCAACTTTCATAGGACGGACATAATAACATTTACCAGTCTTATTAATAATACTATATTAGTCAAATACAATTTGTCATTTAAAATATCTGATATGGGGCTAGTTTTCTTAAATTAAATTGTTAATTTTGGTCCAATTTTAAATTGTTACATTGGTAATTAAGTATCTTTTGTGAGCAAAAAAAAAACATATCACAATTAAATTGATGTTAGGTTCATTTTAATATTTTTATGGCATATTTAAATTAAATTCTTTAACATTCTAAATTGACTTTTTAAAATGATTTTATTCTATCCTTTGGAGGTTATAACTGTAATATTGTTTTAGATAAAATACCAATTTAATAACTTAACATTTTAGTTATACAAAAGGATATTTTCATTTCAGTGAATATGAGATATGTCTTTATATGAATATTTATGGCAATAATTTCTTAATACAATCATATACATAACTTGTAAGCCACTTTAATTAAGGCACAATAACTTTGCATATAGTGCTTTAATATTAAATGTATAATTTGTGTTTAAACCACAATAAACTACGCTAAACCTTTGATTCTAATTTTAACTAGAATTAAATACATAAATTGACAAAGAGTTAAGAAAATCAGCTGATTTTTGACAGTCTTAAAGTAGATTTGAAGAATTTGTTCATTTGTTCTATTAATATATAATAAAATAACATAATATAGAATGATCAATATAGAAATATCCAGCCTTATAAAAACGCGGTATAAATTTAAACTTGAAATAAACCGAGTTTAATCAAATATTAGTACAGATTTTGCTTATACTCAGTATATTCCTAACTCTAACTTTATACCGCGTTTACGTAAGGCTGTTAGAGTGTATACGTCAATCTATGTATTTAAATATAGTGTTTTTTGTTTAATAATTGAGATTCAATATTATTAATAGTTACCGCCATTCATATGTGTCATTTCATCTCCCCACTCGCCAGTAGGCACAGGTTCAGCGTAACAACAGCTTTTCCTCAATAAAAACGTAACATGCGACTGATGTCCCACGCATACGTAGAATATTAATATAGCTTGTAGCAAATTCACAACAATATGTGCATAAATCAATCCGTCAAAGTTCAACCATGATAGAAGTAGAAATAGCCATGCAGTTGTCATTATTAAGAATAACTGCAGAAATAAATTAAAGCTGAAAGAGAAAGGAGGTTTTAATTGTTTGCCCAAATTGCCCAATATCGTTGGACAAACATTGGGTTGTAAAACTTAACCAATAACATCTAACATTGTCAAAAACTTGCTAAATGTTATTTAACATTGGGTAAGTGTACACAAAAATTACTCAATATGTCTATTATTGGGAATTTTATTATTAACTAGCTGTTGTCCGAAACTTCGTCTACGCAATATTAAGATAAAAAAGTAGCCTATAATATGCCCGTCTATGTCAGCTACCTTTTAGTGAGTCAGGTTGACATCTGTCTAGCCGTTTCGGAGATTACCCGGAACATAGTTGGCTTGCGGACAGACAGACAGACAAAATTTTTTAAAATGCGTTTTCCATTATCAGCAACGCAAATACATCATCTTCCCGAAACATAGAATTTTTCTTTCCATATTACAAACAGATGCTCCAATTTTATAATACGAATGTATAGATTGGTAAATAATAACTAGATATAAAAATAACTTACCATCCTTTCAGTTTGTAGTGAATCCTTCCATAAATATTGATTCGTTTAATAACTTTGAGTGTTGTAATATAGAAGAATATGTTAAAAATAATTGTGAATGCAACTGGCGTGAAAAATATTGCTATACCCAGCCATCCTGGAATACATAGAGTAAAAATTAAACTTTAAGATGTAAGAAATACTTAAATAACATACACATGTAACTTCTGTCATACTTCATACTTTATCTTAATATTATAAACTAGCTGTTTCAGTGCGGCTTCACCCACATGAAAATAATGAAAATTTTATTTTATTGTTTACATTTATCAAATTATCAGTAGCAAATGTCACAATGAAATGACATGGCAAACCTTAGCAATCTCTCTTTCTTGATGTTGGCAGCAACTTATGGTCTCTTTCCCACATTAGGATTTTTATCCAAAATATTTACCCCCTAAGTTTAATGGCGTGAAAATATATAGCCTAAAGCGTGACGCAAGTTTAGGGCTATTTATTAAAGAAAGAATTATTAATAATATGCTGTAATTGCTGACACCTTAGGCAACAAAGAAGTGTGTGTTTATGCTTTATTATATTAGTCTATACTATATGCAAAAATTAAGAGGGATGGATGTTTATTAGAGTTCAAAGTCTAAACAGCTGAACGGATTTCTATGAAAATAAGGGTTTAGATGTAGAGGATAGTCTGGAAGAACACATAGGGTACTCTCTTTTGTTTTTTTTTAAAATTCCACGCGGACAGAGTTGTAGGCGAAAGCTAGTATGTTATAAAGTAGATATATTTCTTACCAATAGTTTCTTGTTCCACATCATCAATTAGGATAGACGATGAGAATTGCGTTCGAGTCTTTCTGTATGGATTGGTCCCGGTGTCGAGTAGGAAATGTGCGGAGATAGCCAGCGCTGTCATTAATATCACACTGGACCACACCACACTCGAATAATAGCAATATTTGCGTACATCGGTTACTCTCAGAAATACATTCCGTGATCTGCAAACATAATATTCATACAAATAAAAAAAAAAAAAACAAAATCTTGTTACATATTTGTGTGTCTGATAGTTAAAAAAATGAACTTACTTGAATGTTTTCCAGATATAAAAACCGAAACTGTTTAACCAGAAGAATGCACCCAGTAAACTGACATACAAAATAATATCTGTAAAAAACAATATTATAAGCTTTTTAATTTTGAAACTCAAATTACCTTATGTATGATTTAATTTTATAATTTCCAGAGTTTTAAAAAGTTTCATTTAGAGTTATTGATCAAATTTCAGTGCATAAAAAGTTTTTAATAAACTTACCTGTAATAATAAAACTAATATGATTACTAAATTCAGTGAATATCCGCACTAAATCAGCTGCCTGACTGACTATCAAGCAAACATTAATACTTGTTATAATATTCCCAGCGAGATCACGTAATGTAGGTAATACAAAATATATTATAGCCGTCAATAAAAATAACACCATAGCAATAGCATGGAATAAAGGATTCAATACTTTCCGCATTAAAAAACTTGTGTCTTTCCAGTTAATAATAACCTCAGGAACACAGACTAAGGCATATTCACCAGTTAAATTTGTGCTTGACATATAAATCTGTAAATAAAAATATTTGTAAGATATCACTAAGCAAAAAATAAGTTACAGACAAAAAGATTATAAAATACATAAAGGGAGTATATTTTATTATTTCACTTGAGACTTTTTCACATGATCTTCACTAATACTATCTATTAAAAGGTCCTCAAAACCACATGTTATTATAATTAATTGTATTTAAGTGTATTAAGTGTGTAACTTGACAACTAACAGTAACTCTCAAAGTTTCTGGTGAAAAAATGTTGTTCACTATGTTTAGTCTATATACCTCTTAAATGTCTTTGGTAACAAAGCTTTAAATTGAGGTATAAGTTCTCATTTAGCCAAAATTCATCATCACCAGCTCACTATACACCCCCACCGAGGGGCTCGGAGCCTAGCCTAAGTTAGGGTGAGGTGGGGAGGGTGGGTTAGCCAAAATAATTAAAACTAAAATCACTTTGAGAATACACAATAACACTTACCTTATCCATGCAGTATTTATTCTGATCATGAATATATGAAGATGGTTCTTTAACCTCCGGTATGAGGATAGGAGCATGTAGGGAATATGTGTTAGTTATTGAGTCATCCTTTATACTCTCTATGTTATGTTCATGATGTATGAGGTGTCTCAGTCTACCATCAGTTAGTAAATTCAACCTGAGAGAGAAAAATCAAATATTTTACATAGAATAATATGGATCTAAGTGAAGATAAGATTACAATCTCTAAAAAATCAAGAAACATTTAACTCTGACATTGTATTAACATCTAACAAGATGTTGTTTAAACCATGCCTGAAAGGAATTATTAATTAATTTCTTATATTACTTGTATACTTACTCATCTTCAGACTTTCCAAAATAGTATATAGGCCTTTGTTGTGTTGTCGCACAGTCAGGTACACCATTTAAATATTTAAAGTATTTCAGTTTTGCATCTTTACCATCTTCTGTTTTAAACTTAGGTATCCATGTACCTAGGATAAATAAAATTAAAACACAACACAGAAGGTACACTGAACAATAACCCAATAGACAAAAAAAAAAGGCTTAAACATAACATTGAAAACGATGAAATGAACATTCTAGTGTGGTGTGAAATTTAAAGGTTATGAAATATAAATTAGTTTGTCAACAGGATAGTTTCGATAACATTTTAGTAATAAGTTCTGTTCCAAAAGAAGAAACAGGCAGGTTATAGATAATATAATTCTATTGAAGATTTTACTTACTTTGGTTATACTTATTAGCTAGTCGGCAAACATTGTCCACCATAACTTCATTTTCCTCACAGCATTTATTTATTACAACAGAATGTTGTTGTTCCGATAAATCGTTAAGATCTGTTTCGCCGACTGCTGCGATTACTAATTGAGAACCGTGTATAAGACATAATATCGTTATTAATATTAATTCGGAGTACATTATATCAAAAACAAGTAGTTTTCATCACAGTTGTCTGATATCGTGATTGAGCATTAGCGCCTTTACAATTTGAAAAAAATCACCACATTTTAATGTTTTCTACTCAATAGCACCATAAAATTTAGGTTACTGTAGCAAAACTGTTTTAATTAAAACTTATTTTTTAGTTCCGCGAAGTTTACGCATTCACCGATTTGACAGTTAAGTTGAATCACTTTAAACTTTTACATGCCATTAGACAAAGGTTGTGCATCGTTCAGCCATGTTGTGATAGTACTTTAATTCTCAAACGTCAAAATGCTATGTGTTGTTGTTAATGTTCATTTTGTTAATAATTTCTCTTGTAACTATTGAATTAAAAAAAAAATCTTTCTCAAGAATGTTTCTCATTAAAGTTTTTTTTATCGATTCGAAATAAGTCACATTAATAATTGAAATTACTTGGCTTAAATTACTTACTTTTGTCTCTTGTCTAATAAGGTTTTAAAATAATTTTGTAAAATAAATTAAAACAATAAGATTTTTAAGTTTTTAATAAAACATAAAGTTCATGCGTTATAACAAATATAGGAACAATATCTTTGGCAGTCTGAATCTCTAATAATATTTACATCGTAAATTCTAGAAATCGGACTGTCTATTTTCTTTACTTTTTTCCTATTTAAAATAATTATAATAAAATTAAATAGATATTTGAGACAATGTTAACATTATTATGGCACGTTTAAACTTTACATTATAAAGTGTAATTAAGACTTAATATAAAGCAAAATATTTAAATATGAGTATGTAACCAAAATATAATAAACATTTACGAACAGGACGTGAGTCAGTAGAAGACGGGACTTCCCAGTAATACTGGGATACATTCATCTTATCACGGCGACATATAAAATTAATAGTAACTGTGAAATTATAATCATAGAGATTCTATCGGTTATATTAATCGAGTATCCGATAATAAAACTTAAATATAGTTTATCAAAAATAGTATCTAATTCTAAATAACTCTTATTTTGATTATTATTAACGAAATCTTATTCATTAAAGGTTTTCATAAAAGCTATGAGATTTTACATAAAGATATTTCATTAACGGAAAACATTACACTTATTTATAAACGGTGTTCTTATTTTAAATAACGAAATATAACCGTAGACTTCCTTTACCGAAACATCCTATAAAACCATCCCAGTTTTTTGATAAAAAAATAAGAGGTAATATATTTTTTTTGGAGAATGTTTTGGCACTAGAAATACTTATAAGTCACAAATATATAGATAGTTCAACCACTAACTTATGATGCTAGGTCTTGACGTTTTATTCACAGTTTTTCCCAGTTGTTGTTCAACCAATCTATATGAGAGCTCGTACAAAGAGGACCAATTTAGATTGAACTTTTGTGTTCACTACATAAAATGACTTAGTAAAAAGCTGATACAATGACTTTTGCGTTAGTTAAGTCTGACCTCGACCGTGTCGTCGGCTAATATTTCCTGGTCATCCGCGTCGTCGTGTGGACTCAGTTTTTCAGCAAGCGGCCGTGTTATGAAGAGACAGAAGTGCTCGTTGGCTAAACCTTGCATTGCTCTCCTTCGTAGTACGACCAGAATTAAAAATATAACGACCCCTTGGAGACAGTTGAATATATCCATAATTTTCCTGAAAATAGATATAAAGATTGGATATCGGCTTTATTTGGATAACAGACGAATGTTTTAGTTATTATTTATTATAACCGATTTAGTTTTAGTAAAAAAATCAAGATAAACATTTAATAGAAAGTAAATCTTTACCAAATGATATGGGCTTCTCCGTGAGCGAAACTAGCGATCTCGAACGTCCAAGAGATACCCATGACTAGGAACAGCTTAAGAGACACCAGGAATCTAAAAATATTGATATACTTTGTTACATAGGATTGTAGAACTCTGAAAGAGTCAGTGGCAATTTACATATCACTGATTTTTCTCTTAATAACTACGAATGATATATTGTCCTTACATTTAAAATGAAAGTTTAAATTCGTGTTTTGATAAATCGACAAGGACGATATCGCACATGTACAAATAAGAAACTCCTGTTCACATTCACTTACTTATGCTTAAGGTTGTTCAACTTGCTGACTTCGTACTTCCTGTTTTGTTGCATCCATAAGTTGAACGATGAAATAACGAAGATAATGATATTGGCCGCGATGAGAACCGCAATCGGTCCATAGAAGAATATCCATGTTTCGGTTCGGCCTGGAATTACAATGAGATGTTTATGACAAAGAAACGGATTTTTATACGATTGAAAATTTTAATTACAAATTGCTTTTGGAATGAAATCCATAAATCTTTTGTTCATTTGTTGGATGTAGAATCTTTATCTGTCTTGGTCTTTCTTACCTTGGAACCAGCAGCTGTTGTTTCCAATTCCTGGCTTCCAGTGGTCTCCCTCCGCGAAGTTTGTGATAAGGGATACGGCCAGGAACATGAGTGTGCAGCCCCACGCGTAGCAGCTGTACCAGAAGTACTGTTTTCTCTCCGTCTTCTTCAAGTAGGCCGAATCCCTGCAATTGTTTATCTTTTATACCAGAGATTCAAACACTATTTATTTTTCGTAAACCCCTACCAAGGAGTACATATATAAGAACAAGATTTATGGTTTGCTAAAGTTAGTATGTATAATACTTACTGAACGCTGCGATACATGTTGATGCTAATAACGTTCATCCAAAAGAAGGTAGCCATCATCCAGAAGTAAACAAGGAAACCTTAAAAAGGACAAATTTTATTTATTGGTTCAACGAATAGTTTATCATATTCTTTACGGAGTTCTAGTGGTAGTATATATTGATTTCTAGAGTGACTACAGTTTCTTGTTTGAATTGTTCTGAATTTGTATAGTGTTATGTGATGAAATTACCTGCAACAGTGCAAATGTCGCCAGCGAAATGTGGACTGAGCTGCAGCACGCCCAGGGAGAGGAAGCCCAGGGCCATGCTCACGCACATGCACATGTAGCACAAACCTTGCAGGTCTCTGAAATTCAATAAAGTGTAAATAGCACTTTATTTAGATTTTTCTATAAATTTTTCAATTCGCATCAGTACAGCCGCAGACTTTTGCGTTAAAGTTACAGTATAAAAAGTCAATAAATCTGAAAGTGTGATTGTTTCTTCAAATGTTACAAACCTCATTTGCGGTAGATACATGTAGACAGCGAAGGTGGCCGCCAGGAAGAAGACAGAGATGATAGTAAGAATTCCCCCAGTTTCTATATTGTTGGATTGGCTCACTCTTTCAAAGCAAACGATCGCGACTGACAGATTGCGCAAACTAGGCACACTCGAGTTGCGGTCCATTGTACCAATGCAGTATCTGGAAAATACAAAGTCTATGACATCAGTAGTTTAAACACGGCTAGTTTCAAATCCTTTTAAAAAGTTTGGTTCCTATTATGCCACAAGACTAAGAACACTGGCCGTATATTTGCCTGCTTGATTCAATGACTCCTTGGTTTTAATTTGGTTATGGTAAATTATAGTAATGTCCTAATTCAATACTTACTGATCAGTGTCTTCAGCAAAGATAAATCCTGGTGAATCTTTAGTGCTGAGTTTATCATTTTGTAAGATAATATCCCAAAGGACCATGCGGCCACTGGAGCAGTTTAATGCGATCTTCTCTACCCCGTCGCAGTAGAGTCCTCGCTTGATGGTCTCTTGGTTTGAGCAGCATGGTCTCGCGCACGAAGCTGCGCCAACGCATACCAACAATAGAAGTAGCGATCCCTGAAAACAAAAGAGATATGTTACTGACTAGTTGTTACCCAGAGACCTAGTCCAATTTTAATCTGATGAAGAACTGATCTGATGAATAAATTCCGATGAATTACTATCGTTTAGTATCATACAACTATCAATACTTTAGTTAGCATTAAGTTACATGAATTTCTTTCCTTCAGTCTAAAACTTTGTCTACAACAATATTTAAAAAGTGCGAATGAGGAATTTAATTAATTCAATTATGTCTATTTTATGGTTTTAAAATCTTTTACACCAGTTTGTTTATTTAACTCACTGATATGATCGTTAACCTTCAGTTAGCGTTCGTTGAACTTTATTGCATCATGTGCCCTCAGTTCATTCAGTCGACCATTAAAATGCAACTACTCGTATAAATAATTATCGTTGAAGCTTTCCATTTTACGATAAATTCTCTTCAATATCGAAAGTTATTATTTTTGATTAAACTGTTTTGGTTATTTAATTGTACCTTGAATTGATTTTAGTATTTTTAAACAATTAATATAATTGTAACTAGCGTGATTAACTTAAATAGTTAGAGCTACTGCTCCCGCAAGGATGGCGCACTATTCCAATCCATCTAATGACATTTACAGCTGTCAAATAGGGACGGGACCTCTATACCAATAATCTAGTGTTGCGCCAATTCCAGTGCAGTACTAATTTTCTTCTTAACAATATGTATATGAATAGCAGAGTACGTTTGACCGCGAGTTGTAGAAATGACCTTTACGACGGCGTGGAACCTAATTATCCTCCTTACATATTATTAAGGATCGCTGATTGTTCCCTGACCTAGTTCGAGGTTCTGCCGCTGTGACCTGCATGATCTGCGATATGTTAACGATTCAATTAATGTCTTTGTCTCATTGATAACATCATCCCAGCCGATACGGCGTGAGAATAAAGACTTACAAAAAATAGAGTTACCTTTTCGAAGATTAACAATACGGTAAATTTATGTAATCCGTTCTTATTTATTTCTACAAGTACACACAACATTATACACTTACAAAATTATTATAATCAATTTTACTTTAATTTTTCGCCTGTAGTCTTAAGCCCGCTACATACTTTCTATATAACTGAACCGTTAGAATCTTCAGTTAAAACTGTCAGAACTGACCCTCTATAGCGAGCTTTATCGACTTGATCTATTTTGAATATCACAGTTTTATTCGTTTTATTTTCTGAGGGTCATAGAGAGTATACTCGGCAGTTAGGTCAGTACCGCAATCATCTTAATGCAAGCCACACACGTCATGTTTTGCATGATGTGACAAAACTATTGTTCTATGAATCACGATTATATTGGTTTATTTCGTCATACAAAACCTAACTTGTGTGGCCTACAGAAGAGTGCATAATGCAGGAAGTATTTTGTGTAATTGATTGTTTTAATATCTACTCGTATTACATTACGTAAATTATTTTTTTTTTTGTTTGAAATAACAATAGAAATTCGTGGTAGATGTTGAAATCAGATAGTTCTTGTTAATCTAGAAACTATCTTTTTGTTAATCGACATAATAACGTCATTGAAAATAGATCAAGAACGAAAAAAATAGCTTTTGTAATTTTTGTTAATTCCTTATACTTGTAACGTAATTGCTGATATATTAATATTGGACGGATTCGATAAACGTTAGCAGGTATATAAGTGAAAGTGAATAAAGATAGAAACGAGAATAATTTTTTAAGTAAATTAAAAAGCTAGGTTCTCCATACCAATAAGTACTAGTTTAATATTGTATTATTTGTGCTGATAAACTAACTATATATTTTAGACGCTCATAGTATGTTATCTATCTATTCCTAACATATGGGTGACGTGTTTATATATATTAATCTAGATATAATAATATTAGATAAAAAATCTAATCAATTGAATGACTGTATAATACGTAATATTGATATATTTCTGAATTCGCTTCTTCGAAAAATAATTTCTCAATAAAAACACTAGACCCAAGTGTTTTCATTATCTGAGTCATGAGTTATTTTTACTTTTACTACAACACAAATAAACGTAATAATCGTGTCTCTTTTGAAATTAATACGCAGTTAACTTTGATAATTCCTACATTGACATCTGTATTGTTTTTAACATTTTGTGTTCAGTATGCACTATAACATTTTACTAAACTATCGAACAACTGTTTAGTCTCGCTTTGATTCCTATAAGAATATATGGAGATGTTCACACTACTCCATTTTTAGTTGTGCAAACAGTTCGACAATCGCACAAAAGTTGTGCGATAGTTTAGTCAAAGTTGTGCGCCCGATTTTAGTCCAGACAGGAAACATTTAAACAAATATGTTTGTAGTATCACAAAGCTCAGTCACAGTAAAATCAAACAGCCTGTTTAGACGGTGGGAAGGCGAGTATAAAAAATAATATGAAATAAGCATTTGTGTTTTATAACTAGCCAAACATGAGATAATGTTGTATTTAAATGTGACGCGGTTTCGTCCAGTTAAGTCAAAGCTATTTAGCATAGACAAATTTGTTGTTATCTTATCGACAGGATACCCTCATAGTACGGCGCTCGTGATGTCCGTCAGCTATTTGAATAGGATTCAATTGTTAAATTATGATCCAAAATATATAATGTTAAGAACAAAATTAGTACCGTGCTGTAGAATTGGCGTAACTCTAGATTATCGGCATTAACGTCACGTCCCTAGCTGACAGCTGTCAATGTGACTAGAAGGATGGATACATATATTGGCGCGCATTCCTGGCGAGTCTCGAGTGGAGTGTTAAAAAAAAAACATACAGACGAATTGTGTACCTCCTTCTTTTGGGAAGTCGGTCAATTAATATTGCTAAGTGCAAATATATTAATTCTCTAAAAATAACAAGCTGTAATTTTTAACTAATATTTGCGTTTTGTGTCTCGATATGTCTGATACTAGTTTGTATCGATACCGGGTCAAATTGACTGTTTTGAAAACCATCTACAGACGCTTAGTTTTGAAGATTCGAACAGTACAGTTACAACTAAATGTTCTTATTTATGCAATATTTTTAACTGTCACTGCAATTTTTAGGTTCAAATTTCTCAATGACTTCGGCGTTTGTAGGAAGCTTTCACTAATTCGACCGTTTAAGATCAAAATAATGTTCTGGTTTTTACTGTGACGTACAAAGTTAAATATTCTCAGAATTATGAGTAGAGATTCCGTGTCGTCGTATCTTCATTAAGTTGTTTACGAACGACTGATTTGTTTTTGTGTTTGCCTTATTTGTATTGCGGGAAAATGTATATGGAATAAATATGAAAACAGTACGTGCTTGTAATAAAAACAATATCATACTGATATCTTCATTAATAGTGTCTTTAGCTTGTTCCAGACAATGACATGAGTAAGGGCTTTGTTAGGTTTTTCCTACATTTGGTTTAACTACCTCGTTTACATGTAAACTTCTTGATTTTGTGGCGGTTGAGAAGGTTTATTAAGTAATCTATGATGGCACCAGAGTAGTGTTTAAATATATTTCGAAAATATATATTTTTGAGTTGTTACGCGATAGGGTAGACACGCTATCTATACTAAGGTTATAAAGAGAAATGATTTGGATTTTTGTATATTTTAAAATAACTCAAAAACTACTTGATTGACTTCAAAAATTCTGCATCTTCAAAAAGCTACGTTATCGCTGAGTATCTTAAGCTATATTTTTTTAATTTCACGTATACGAAGTTATTAAGATGGGATGATACTGTTTTTGATGATTTGGAATTGCTAATTTGTTGCATATCCGTTCATTAATCTCAATTTAACATTGTGCGCGTGCGCAGATTCTTTTTGTCCGACACTTCAGATGTTTAAAATTAGAACTTTACGCGCCATCTCTGTTTATTCGTGTCGGATGCAAACAAAGAAGGATTAACCACTCGCGTTTTAATTGCTTTTATTTTTAAACAGCGTTTATGGTGCGAGAATGAATTGTTTTAAAAAAATAGTGACGTAAAAACAACAGTGTTCATAGATATATGAGAGAAAGAGTGTAAATATAACTTTTATTTTTTAATTATAAAGCTGTGTATGCATAGACTGCTCAAATTACAAAATACTTACATCTGGCAGTATGGTACATGATAAGTTGACATACTATCAATCCGGGGTGCAACGTACATTTATCACATGTGTGTATCGATTAGAGAGTATTCCAAATTATTAGTAATAGTTATTAACAAAATATTATTTACACAACGGTTTTTTATTAAATTTAAAACATTTTGGAATCTGCAAAGTACTATCTCGTCTTCATATTTTTGTCTATCTATACTAATAGTATAAAGAGGAAACATTTGGATTTTACTGTGTATTTAAATAATTCAAAAACTACTGGATTGATTTTAAAAATTCTTTCGCCATTAAAAAGCTGCGTTGTCAGTGAGTAACATAGGCTATGTTATATATTATTTTTTAATTTCACGCGGACGGAGTCGCGGGCGAAAGCTAGTATAGTATAAAGAGGAAAGATTTGAATTTTAATATGTATTTAAATAATTCAAAAACTACTGGATTGATTTAAAAAATTCTTTCACCATTAAAAAGCTACGTTATCAGTAACATTTTTATAGTTTTTAAAATTAACGCACGCAAAGTCGCGAGTTACAACTAGGGTAAAATATGAACGATAATTTGTTGGTTATAACCCTTGTCGGGTCATAAGTGAAGTTTATTGACTTTACATTCGACTTATCGCCAAAGATACAAATGACCAACTATGTTTTGTTTCACTAACAAGTGATATAAGTATCATGCTAATTGTGTATGATTAAGTTATTTTCAATAATGTAGATTTAATAATTTTTAAATAATAAATCTTGTACTCTTCAGAGTGGCTTCAACCTACCCTCTACACTAAATATAAATACATACGCGGTCAAAAAGGATCTAGTAAACAAATATGTAGAAATATAAATTTCATATAATTTAGGTAGATAAAAGTATTAAAATACCCACTGTTTAGATAATAATTTACAATTATTTAACATTTAAACCCAACTACGATGTTATCACAACTATGTGGATATGTAAACTCATTTACAACTCGACTATGTACTTAGTAAACATCATAATTAATGTAATGATGTAAAGTAGTTGATAAAATTATTAGTATATCGAAATACAATTCTTCAATGTAAGAGAATTATAAATAAAGTTATTTATAGATAACTAACAGATTTATATTGAATTATGTAAAGAATTAATGTTATCAAACGAATATAAAAGAATTAATACTTTTTCAGTATATAACGTGAATAAAGTTCACAGATTATTCAAATAATTAATATAGTGGAATTTTAAGAAAAATTAATTTCTTTTTGGTTTAGGGTAATTTATGATTTTATTCGTTTTGTTTTAAAAAGCTGGCGGTTTTGTAGGTACAAAACCGCCAGTTTTTTAAGGTTGCGTTTTTATATTACGTAGAAGGTAATTTCAATTTAAAGCATAAAAGATTAGAGAAAGCGTAACTTTTGACGAGCATATAAAATTAAAATAATGAAAAACCTTTTAGCTCAAAAATTACTAAAATGGCTTACCTTCATTTTGGCGTAACAGCGAGCAAACGATGCGCCACCTCGCAGCACATTAACAAAACGCACAAACTGCTGTGAATCAATTATTAATCTATTTTATATTTATTTCGATTCTCACTTATCAGAATCGAGTAACACTCGATAATACGTGTTGAATGCGTGCGACTTGGACGATGCCGTGAATGAAATAACGCAATTTTAGTTTATCGTTTTGTTATGATATTTAAAGGGTAGCTGAAGTTGACACTAATGTACAGTCACTGAGAAAATTGTTACATAAATCAACTAGCTTCCGCTCGTGACACCGTCCGCGTGGAACTAAAAAAAAAACAAAAGTGAGTAGCCTATGTTTTCTTCCAGACTATCCTCTACATCTGTACCAAATTACAATGAAATCGTTCAGCCGTTTAGGCTACAAACTCAAACAACCATCCATCCATCTAAACTTTCGTATTTATAATATTAGTAAGGAGTGATGTAGATAGTTGTGGAAAATGGTAAATTCTTTTAAAAACAACATTTTAAATCACAACCGGATGGTGATATTAAAATTTTAAATTAACTAGTTGTTATAAAAATGTTTGAGCTATAAAGCAGTTTTGATTTTAATTTTATTGACAGTAATTGGACATACTTTTCGAGCAATACATAAATAATCAGTTATTCCTGAAATACATGAAGATATTCGCTTGTGTTGTATTGTAACCTGAAATCTAAACAGTTTGATTAGTATTTTTTTTGTTACAGTACTCTGAAAATCGGAGTATCTTCATGCATGTTTGATATTTTATTTCGGAAATAATAAGACCATAGAGATAGATACTAGCACTTATCTATCCGTATACAAGTTGATATGTGCGATTGTCTTCAGTATATTGTGTTACTTCAAGTTTCCACTGCAATTTTTGCAGCGCCCCAACCGGGCGTAAAGTACATCAAACCACATACAATTTTTGTCGATGACGTTACACATACGTTCTCGAATTGTTAAGCAAATATTCGTGATGTACCCTCATATTATGGCTTGTTTAAATGTTTGTTTTGATGTGGTAAAATTCGGATCATAATCTAAGGTATATTTGTGGCATGGCAGTGATCCTAATACAGACTTGGGAGAAAGAATTGAAGTTTGTGCTCCCAAGTTACTTAGTTACAATTGTATCAACACATCTATATAATACAACGCCATCTAGACAACGGTATAGGTACTATCTGGTGACTAGTAGTATTTTAGTTACGTGGTGCAGAAAGATATCGCTAGATGTAGCTTTAATCAATACAAAATTAAATAAAATGCAATGTTTTTAAAGAGCTTTTGTGTATCCAGTATCTATATAAAAGATTACTTTAGAAGAACGTTTGAACCACAACAGCTGCAATCATATTTTTAGGTTAAAAAAAGAGACACTTTTTTATTAATTTTTATTTGTTAAATTCCAATTATAAATGAGTACAAAATAAATTTTTAAACACTAAACAATAATAAAATACAACAATTTTTTACATTATACGCCTCGGAATATTCATTATCATATATTGCATCAGGGATTATAGGTTATAGGAGTAACTTTGAGTCCGAAAACATTAATGCAACTTAAAACATAATATGAATAAAAGCACGTTACTAAAGTAGGCACAAAGCATTCTATTTTTAAATAAATCTGATTATTTGTGCCCCATTCTGATCTGATATTCATTCCGAAGAAACAATAGTATATTGTTATTAATTCTTATTCTATGTTAATAATTCATCTTAATTAAAGTGTTATTTTTTATGTTAATAACGTAAAGTCTATAAAATATTAAAGGTAAAGTTTGTTGACTAGTTTTGTACTGTTGTGATTTACTTAAAATAATACATTAAATAGGCTGATTAAATGCTATAGGTTGTGCGTAATAATCCATTCAAATTTATATTTATCAATATTATTGTATTTGTATTACACTTATTCTTAAAAACTTTTTACTTTTGCCCTAAGCGGGCCCTACAGTATCCGAGATATTATAATGACGGTTTAGAATTCAGTAACAAAGTCTTCAAATGCTGGCAATTACCACATCAGAGCTATCACTAAGTCAGTAGCAGAACACACGTGCGGATATGGTCTAAGTCAGGGGTGGCGAACATTTATGCATCAAAGAGACACTTTTTAAAATGAATATTCAATGCGTTATTATACGTGCCATCAAATATAGACTACGATTATTATATAAACTCCAAGGTACACCTTTTTAGTGTTTATGATTTTGGACGACACGAAATTTGACGTTAACCCCTTGTCTAAGTGATGGTGACTTTCTCATCCATGGGCACATCCATGGTGTGTTGTATGACATCTTCGTCGTCGTCTGCGAGTGCGAGATGGCGCTCCACGTGCGGCGCGAGGCAGTCAAGCACGCCGCGCCGCAGCAACGCCTTCACCACGCGTCTCCGTAACACGACTAGCACCAGGAAGATAAGCGGACCTTGCAGCACGTTTACAAAGTCCAATATCACCCTGCAATAATATATGTCGTATCAAAACAATGTTATCGTGGCAAAGGACATCTGTTTTATAACCCGCTGTAATTTGACATTTTTGCATTCATAAAACATAATATTGTAAACATGATATTGTACAAAAGTAGATTGTTTCACGCATCCATTTTATAAAAATTTATTAAAGTAATTATCAACATTGAAAATTAATATCGACTGTTAGTGGTAACAGAACATCCATAGATGTACATTTTAAGGTCAACTGGTAAAAGAGTTCTTAATAGTAAATAATATAAATCAATTAAACCTTTCATTTAATGCGAAATGCGTAAAAGTGCGTATAGCGAAGTATCTGATAGTTTGCATGCAAATACAATACCTTTAGACGGTTTGCTATTTATAGCCGGTATATGCGCTCGAGGCAAGATAACGCTATGATAACAGTTATCGTCAGCTGACGTCATTATCGTGAACACTAGTAGTGCATCTTAGAAGTCTCTGACCCTTAAGACAAATGTTTTTTCATGGTTTTCGTCGTAATTTAAACCTACTTTGGGAACCGAACTAAATTCATTTTACACATTTATTCGGAAATATTGGATCTTAAGGAAATACGTACCAAATAATATGTTTATCCGATATGGAGCTTATCATCTCGAAGATCCACGGAACTCCCATTATAATGAACAGTCTGACTGTCATCATGAATCTGAAACAAAAAATGTTTGTAAAAAAAATTAATTGGTACAAAAATATTTTATTCGATGTTTATTCGGCTGTTATGTTATGTTATGTTTGAATGTGATGGCTACAAAGGTTGAGGAAGACCGAAGAAAGTATAGATGGATTGTGTAAAAGAGGATGCTTAAGGGAGTGAATTCAGATATGACGATTGATAGAGATAGAAGAGCTGGACTCTGTCAACCCTCCGTAGGGATAAGGGAAAGGTGATGATGTTTGTTCGGCTGTTTTAATTTCTGCTATATGAACATATAAATACATATCATATTTTCAACAAGTACATGAATTAATACTTTAAAACACAAGTCGGATTATAACCAGTTATAAAAAGGTGTAAGAAATATTTCAATCTCTTGTTGATTAACATATTTTTTAAATCAAATTATTGCGTGACAATGTAATAACTTCAATAGGATAAATGAACTCTTATACAAAAACGTTTTATATCTGTACGTGAAGATAATAAATTAGCAGAATAATTAAATCATTTTGCTATTGTTGTAAGGACGTTATCCAATTTGTATAACTAATGTACCATTCAACATTCCATCCAACTTTTAATGGCTGTTTAAATTGCACATACATTACAATTAAAATAAGTATGATATCGCAAACGTAAGTAAAAATAGTTAAAGCAGTTATTAGTTACTAAGATCGTGTGTTACGTCATTTCTGTTTGATTGTTAGACGTTATAATTTGCATTTTAACGATACATTTGTCAATCTATAAATAAACGGTGACGAATAAGGCGCGGTATCGTATCAGGAGATGAATGAAGATATTAACAAAGGTAAAGCAGTACCTACAACAAAATAAAGGTCATTTGCTCAACCAAAACTGCAGAAATTCATTTCATTCATTCATTACACGTGCTTGAATGTTTGTCCACGATCTCCCAATTAAACATTATCTCTTTCAAATTCATTCATCGTATCACACATATTAAAACTTTAACAGTGGTAGAGCCCGCTTTAACATCTTCGCGCGAATGGGTCGGCTCGCCCGGTGTAATGAAAGAAAACAGGCGTGAAGTGGAAGCAGTTCCGCGTTTCGTCTGATGAGTGTGGTGCCGGAGGCCTAATTTTAGTTCCTTTCCCTTTCCACCCTTTTCTTAAGAGGAAAGGATGGGAAGGAAAAGTGGATTTGACGGTGGAGGAGACGCATAGAAAGGGGAAATGTTTTCTTTATGTGCGTCTCCTCCTCCGTCAATGAAGGGTAGGCAACGCATCTGCAATTGCGGATGTATATGAGCAGCGGTCGCTTTCCATTTCGGTGGATTCGGGTGGTCCCTTGCTTGTTTGCCACCTTATATTATAAAAAAAACTGGCTTTGCTCACCAGCATGTATGAATTACACAGTTTTGTACTGACTTGTATTTGAGCGCCTTGAGGTGCGTGGAGGCGAAGCTTTGCCGCCAGAGTACTACGGAGGTGTACACGAAGATGCAGATGTTGGCGGATATGAGAATCGACATCACGCTATACATGTAGTACCACTGCTGCTTCTTGTCTGGTTAAAAATACAGACAATTTGAGTCAAATATCAACAGTCAACTGGCGACGTTAGTATGTAATCTCTTTGATGAAGGGTACGAATTAACTTTGTTTCATTTTAGCCATTTTTAAACTACTATGACTAGCTTTCGTAATTGCCTCAATTGACAAAATTTTTACTAGTAATCCTCTTGAACGGTTTTCATGAGCGTACAATATATATGCCTTGTTGAGAACATTTAACATACCGAAAAACCAGCAATGGTTTAACCCGATTCCAGGTTTCTGATGATCCCCAGGTATAAAATTAACAATGGCCATTGCTATTGTTATCGCTGCGCTCGCTCCCCACGCGTACAGGGCGTACCACGAAAACTCCTTCCATCCGTAGTCCACTGTTAAGGGACGTCTGAAACACCAAAAGAAGCATAAGGCAACATATTTCAATTCGTTGATAGTTACTATTTGTGTTGTTGCTTTCGAAAATATGAACAACTTTTGTACCACTATATTATGGTCATTGTTGTGATGGATGGGCAACGTTTATCTCTTCCATATATCTTTAAGCTCTTTCACATAGTCCATTTACAATGTCATCATGTACTCATGTAGCCATTAATAAATGTTTAGCTTAAGGTAAATAACATCATCCTCCATACACTTGCCATATTACACGTGGAAAATCCATAAAATCTCCTCGAATAATTTAATAAATATGAGCAAATACTTTTAAACCGTTTAAATGATAATTAACTTGTGATTGTTATATGGCTCATACCTCATGTTGCGGAGTATCTGAATTGATATAGCATTCGTCCAGAAGAAACTCGCAATGAAGAAATAGTACGTAAGAAAGCCTGAAAAAAAATAACATTGTCAGTTTGCCAATCCTCCTTCCTACTAATTTCGATGTTCGTTAGAGTTTGTAGCCTCAACAGCTGAACGGATCTCGATGAAATTTGGCATAGCTGTAGAGCATAGTCTGGAAGAACGCATAGACTACTAACTTTAGTTTTTTTATTTTAATTTCATCCGGTCGGAGTCGCGAATGAAAGCTTTTTTTGTATAAATATATTGCGTTTGTATGTTTACATACCTCGTGTTGCGCAGAGATTCATGTCGGAGTATGAGCTAATGAGATTCATAATCGCCAAACAGAGGAGGCCCAGAGCGAGGGAGATGCAGAAACATATTATACTCTTTCCGTTCAAGTCCCTGAAATTTAATTAATACACATAGATGAATTTTAGAACATCAATCGCCAACTTTTGCAAGCAAATTTGTCACACGATAACTGAAACAATTTGCAATAATCTTTTCAAATTGATCTGTGAAGGAGTTTTATAGTAGAAGGTGGAAAGCGAGCACGCGGTATAGTGTTAGCCTAGCCTAGTAGCTGCCAGTTCTAAGAGGCTACATTGTCGAAACGTCATAAGGCTAGTATTTGACAGAAGTTTAAATAGTATGTTGAACTACTCACCTTATTTCTGGAAGAGCAATATAGATAATGGCTGTCAGAGTAAGGAAAATGACAGACACGAGCATGCAGTACGCCAATGCGCTTTGATCAACAATCTCATTCTCTTCCTCGTCTTCGCAAATGATGGCTGCTTTCTTCGCCTTGAGCAACGATGATGTGTTCGTGCTTAACGAATAGTTGCCAACGCAAAATCTGTGAATTGAATAAATGCAATACTTTAATCGATTCTCATCAAACCCTTTAGTGTTTAAAAACCTAATTTAATATTTGATCTCTAACTATTTTTGCTTGTACGTGGTTTTTTAATCCGTTTGGCTCAAAATTAAAGGTTGTTAAAATTGCGTTAGCTATCGTAAAATATGTATTTTTAGCATTCCGGGAACGTGAGGATCGATAGTAATATTGTTATTTAATAATTCTTAGATTTCCAGATGACCGTGAATCTAATATTGAACATGAGGTAATCCAACCTATTTTTGACCGACTTCCCAAAAGAAGGAGGTACTCAATTCGTCTGTATGTTTTTTTATTTATTTATTTTTTTTATGTGTTACGGCATAACTCCGCCGCTAGTGGACCGATTCTTTTTTTATCCGAAAGGTTTGCAGGTGGGTCCCATTTTTTTGTTTGGTTTTTGGAGTCAAAGACTACGACGTAGTTAAATAGTTTAGCTCAAAATCGCGCGACGAAATTTCGGGTCATTTTTGCTTTCTTTGCTTACGTAGCCTAAACTATAAGACCTACATAAAAATGATGTATGGAAGAATTGTATCCCTTTAAATTTGCTAAATAAAAGTCCGCGATAGCATATATCTATCTATTAAGGTTGTCACACAATAACCGTTTGTTTCGCGAAAACCGTCAAATAAATGCAATCGACTTCATTTAAAACGCTTTTATTCTTATTTGGT